TAAAATAAATATAAATCAATTTGATATATATTAACTTCCCGTAGGGTAAGTTATAGTAATCGCAAAAAAATCGAAAATGAAAATTTTTATATATCTTTACGTTTCAAAGGTTTCTGAACATTTTGGCATACCTTAGAAAAAATGGATGTATGTTGTGTGTTGTGTTGTGTGTGTGTGTGTGTATGTGTGTGTATGTGTGTGTGTATGTGTGTGTGTATGTATGTATGTGTGTGTATGTATGTGCGGATACAAATTTTCGTCGACGATTTCGGGAACACGGATCAACCGATTTGAATAATTCAAAAACATTCGATTCGTATTGATAAGGAGACGTGCTGATTAGTTTTTGGCGAAGGCAGGTCTAGCCGTTCCGAAGATACGGGGCAAAAAGTGCCGAAAACGGTAACTCAGTTTTAAGAGAACGGAGCGTCCGATTTGAATAATTCAAAAACGTTTCACTTGTATTGACAAGATGAAGAATCGATAAAATTTTCATGAAGGTAGGTCTAGCGGTTTCGGAGATATGGAGGAAAAAAGTAAAAAAATGAGCCATTTGGCGGTCAAAAATGATCATTAGACATATGCACATCAATTATCAGATATTTTATAGAGATTTTAACAATAAGTATACATTTGTTAACTCCTATGGGTTCCGTACCAATGCTTATGCGTTAGACGCGACGCGGCACTTACGCGCTTTATATTTTGTCCCTATGCAGTTAAAACAGTACGATTGCTTTGAAAAAAGTTCAGATCTTCCACAATATGTTAAAATAAAGAAAATTTTTTTTTTCAAAAAAAAAAAAACAAAAAAAAAATTTAAAAAAAAATTTTTTTTTAAAAAAATTTTTTTTTTCAAAAAAAGTAATTTTTTGGCCAATTTATAGTTTCTCAAAAATCTTATTTTTTCAAAGTAATTTTTTTTTCAAAAATGTTAATCGTTTTTAAAAAAATAATAATTTTTGGTACGGGAAGTTCCAGCAATTTGCCTTAAGGCACGATGCCCCTTATTGCCTTAAGACAGAATTCCACTTACAGCTAGTTTTTTTTTTGATAACATGCCATCAGGGACCATGCTATTAATTGACAGTACTATTCAACAAAATTCATTAATAATTTTAGTATGAAATAGTGCAGTAATTTTTAATTTCTGCGTAACTGTAACACATCGGAATCCACTATATTTTTATTTATTTATAACCAATTTACCATTTATGTATTAAAGTACGAACATTCGTTGAATACGAAATATTCAAATGTCAGGTTTGTTTCTATAATATTTCGTATATGCACCCGTTGACTGACAACGCCATAGATAAATAAACATAAATAATGCACGACGCGTACGATTTTTGACATGGGGAGTTATCTTCGAACAAATGCGCGTTGCACTGTTTTGGTTTGAGTAGTGTCAATTTTTAAAAACAGATGGCTCACGTGTGCAATTTCAAGTACAAATCGTTCAGCTTCGTGCAAGTTGACAGGACACGCGAGGCTGTCAAGCGCTGTCAAGCATTTGATCCCTGTACGAATCGTACGAATAACCTAAAATTGATTCTAATGAATTATTGTGTTTAAGTGAACATTTAAGTGAAATTTAATATGGCAAAGTGTTTTTATAGTACCCAAAAAAGTGCCAAGTGCAAGTTAAAATATTCAGCTATTCCAATACCAGTTCCCGGAAAGTTATTTTTTTATAATAATTGCAACACTAATTATATATAATCAAATATGATATTACAACATGTTATTATATTGAATAGGTGTATTGGGGGTACCTGCAAATTGCTGCAAAATGTACTTACGAACAAAGCCTAGGAGCACTTTTGACAACTAAGGAATGCAAGATGTAATGACAAGAAGGATTCATTAACAATGCAATAATTTAAAAATTAAGTCGTACAAATAATCTCCAAAGGCGTTCTATTTTTGAAGACAAATTTTTTGCCATGTCCTCAAACATTGAGAAAGTTGCATTCAGAGATACAATAGTATAGCGGTATTAATGAGTGTCTATTTAAAACATTAGGTTTAGCTATTTCTCTTAAAAAGTATTAGTAGCATATTCTGTGTTTGATGTTTGATGAAATACCATTATCTTCGGAATTGTTATATGATTGGATTGAATCTCATATTGTTGATGTTGCAAAACAGTTATTTAGTATTGGTTTAAATGTTCATGAACATAAGTTCATTGTTATATTTAATAAGATATTATCTATTATATTAGCAAATGTAAACACTTATAAAGCGAGTCTATACCATACATAATATTTTGTGTTATAATAATCTTCAAATAAAACTTGAGCAACATCCCAATATAATGTTTAAATTCAAAATATATTTGTTACTGACCTTGTGAGTCAAAAATATTGCTTTTATCTTTCAATTCATGAACAATTGTATGTGCATAAAACATTTTGTTGATATTTTATGGTAATTTCAATGATAATGATTTCATAATGAAACATGATTAAATGTAATGTTATAAAACACCGATGCAGAAAACTATTCAAAGGTTTGTTAAATGCAACTTTACTATTAATTCATTAGGTAGCAAAATAACTATTACATGCAGAATTAATAAAGAACAATGTCTCGTAAATGAGTTTTAATCCTAGGAATTTGGATTTCTCTCATTTTGATATCAATATATATTTTATGTCTTTAGGACTTGTTTGCTTGTGAAGTATTTGTACTTTTTAACAAATTATCTTTTTTTTTAACCTTCTAAATTTTTGTATTATTTGTCATTCCTTCTAACAATAAGTTTGATATTTCATCGTGTGCTTCTGTGCTTTTAGTTTCTTCTTAGTTTTTAAGTTTTTAATATAATAATATTAGTCATTGAGATATTAATATTAGTCAGTTATTTCTGGTTAGTTAGTTAAATACCTCTGTGGTTTTCTCCACTTAGATCTTTAGTTTTGAGATATTATTAAGATACTTATAAATATATATAATAATTATTTTCAAACATTCCACAGTTGTAATTATAATTGTTAATATAAACATAATTTTAATTGTTCTTTAACAATATGTAATATATTTGAAAATATATATTTTGTATTTCCTATGATTTATTCTTATTTCCAATATTAAATATAATTCATGTTTTTTGGGCTGTATACGATACGTACAAATTTAGAAGTAATACCAGGGGTTAATTTAAATATTCTACATGTGCTGCCATCTATTTTAAAAATTTGTATTTTAATCGAGGTAACGTCAAATCGCCAGACATAGCGATCTATTATACTTGATTATCTATGATTTTTGACATTTGATCAAAATCAAACGTGGCAATGAGAAATGCCCCGAGAGAGCCATCTACATAAACTTCTGTTATCTATAAGCCGTCAGTTGTCATCAGTTGGCATTTCTTCTCAAAGTGGTTTTATAATGAAGCTCATATAAATAAACATGATAAAGCTTTTGTAAAATTTGAGAGTAATCTGCACGAAGGGCTAATCTAAAATGATATATTATTCATTTTTTGAATTTATTTCAATAAATCCTTTGAATTTCAGTTATTAGATGTGACATGTTAAACGCTTTTTCATATAAATATGTCAGAATAGATATAACAAAGGTACAAGTAAGTTTAAATATAAACCTAGACAATATAATAATATATAACTATATAATTAGTTCTTAATGCTTATAATAATTTATTAATATATAAAAGGTTAATATATAAAAATAATAATCCGCAAGTTTATTTAATTGCTTTGATGTCGTTTTTACTAGTTTTGAAAGCAGTACACGGCGTTATCCATACTCTTTCTTTTATCTATGACGTTATTTATATTTAGGGTCTGTTCACAGTGGCAGTTTGTGACGATCCACAACTCTTCCAAACTCATTCTGATTTGTTACACTGCGCATGCGCCGTCTCATGACTGTTTCCAACGATTTGACAGGACGGTTTACATCGAACGCGACTTAACCTTCACAAACCGTTTAGTATAATTCGTTTTGTTTTTATGTTTGTTTGGGCAGTTGAATACTGATCTAATACTACTAGTTTTAATTAAATTATATTATTTATTATTTATATTTTTTTAGCTTTATTGTTTAATATAATAATAGATTAAAAATATAATAAATAAGTTTTTCGATGTTTATTTTCATCAAATATATAAAACAGTTATTCAATTATTTATTTTTAATCGTTAAACTCCTGTAAATTTGATGAATTTATCAATCTCATACTTTATTTGAGGTTAGAAAAGTCAAGAATTAATGTTTTCAAAGAATCGGCATCCATGTTTTCTGACAGTCACAAACGCATCAAACCGAGCTGACCGAACGCGTAGATAAAATCCACAACAGTTTGGGATTCAGTTTTGGACACATCGAACGGTCAAAACGATCTGCGCATGCGTCTGACGGTTGCGGACTGTCGGTGACTGTACTCCGAACAAACCCTTATTTTAACTATGGCGTTATTCGTTATTATGGCGCCACTGTAGCACAAAAAAGTTTAAATGTTGGCTACCTGCATCATTAGTAGAACTCTACTCTTTTATCTATGACTACTTATTGCTATTAGATGACAGAGCTATATCTTTAATCTATGGTGCAACCTGTCGGGTTATCCGAATTTGCTTTCTGTCATTCTGATGTACAAAATAATTATTTAGGATTTTAAATTAAACAGTATGCGTTGCAAAATTATTTTGTCATAGTCCAAAGCAATTGTAAAATTCTAGTGAGGAAACATATTAAAGACTATGTAAAATACAAGCGAGTTTCTGTGAAAATATGTCATTCAGTATTGTGGTATAGTCTTCTCTAGTTTGACATTAACGTAAAATTCTTCAACATGAAGAAACTGTTTTCTAAAATAGAAACTAAGATCGATAACAATACAAAAGAAACTAATAATCAGGTCGGAAAAGTTTTCACTGTTGGCAGGGTCACAGTTACTGTCGAAGATGTCATAGCAGAGGGTATAAAATTATTTATTTTGTGAAATTTTATTAATTATTTATGCAGACTAAAAAGTATTTATTGTGTGATTCTTATTAAAAAAATGTATTCTTTTTAATATTACTATCAAATTGAGTTCATTACATTACAGGATGAATTATGTTTACAATAAACCACTAACAATAAGTAATAATAATTGATACATCATAAAAATTATACTTTAATATTATTATTGCGATTTTCTGCTGGTTTTTATTTTTTTATAAAAATATTTTTATTGCTTTATTAGCTACTTATTAACATATTAACTGTTTATTGGATTGTGACCATTATTTAAATTTTTATCATTATTGTTTTCCTATGTTCGTTGCTTAATGCAAATGCTTATATTTTTAGGAGGGTTTGCAGTAGTGTTCTTAGCAAAGGGAAGTAGTGGTGCAAGATATGCTCTTAAAAGAATGTATGTTAACAATGAACATGACCTCAATATTTGTAGAAGAGAAATTCAGATAGCTGTAAGTATCTTAAAGTTGTAAATTGAATATTATTTTTTTTATTTAAAATGTTTTGCACTAAACCTGACAAAGTGATGTAAACTTTTTGGTGAAAAAAATTGATCATTCAATTAAAGTTGAAAATTAAATACTTATTGCAGATTATAACAATAAACAGAAAATATGCAGTAGAAGTTATTAAATTAGCATTTACTCCAAGTTTAAAATGTTATCTTCAGAAGTTGAAATTTTTTATTTAACACTCATTGCAATAATTTGAAAATAATTTTTGTATGTACTATATGGATCGAGATATAATGTCATCGGGGTTTTTGTTCGTTAAATATTGCTTTTAGCCCAATCCTGCAGATATGTTGTGTGAAAGATCTTCTTGGTTTTTAATTTACTTGCATACATTTTACTTCTTAAACTTTATATATCTTCTCATATTTTATTTCTACCTTTTTCTTATGCAAGTCATCAATTATATATATTCGTTATCTTCAACCATTCAATATTTATCTTTTCTTTTGCTGACATCTTAGAATATCCACTTATCTTACATAGAGACAACCTACTATTATAATCTTGGTCATTTTTATTATACTCTTATTCTTTGTATATTTTTTTCATTAAATTTTGTTTAAGAAACCATAAAATTTACAAGAAAAACAAGAGACACATTCCGTCCCAGATAACAAATTTACAGATGTTTTTGTAAATAATAAGTTAGTTTGCGAATAATTTATTTTTCAAAGATCTTTTTGGTACTTGAAAGTTGAACCCTTTTCATGCAACATTTATTCTTATTTAGGATCTTGCAAATATTCAAAATGATAATGTCTGACCTCTCATATAGAATTTAAACAAAATATTAACATTCATAAAAAAGCAATAACCTTAATGATGAAAATCCTTTTTGCTGGCACTTTCACATTCTGTATTATATAAGTGAAAAGTGAATTTTATTTTGACCTAATTTTTATTATTAATTTTTGTCATTCAGCTATTGATGATAATGGAACTCCAAATATAGCCCGATTATAATTTTTATTGTTGAGTACAAAGATAAAATGACATGAGTGAAGAGATTGGAAGTTTTTTATTTTCACCAAAATAATTCTGTAAAGTATGATATTATATGGCTGCATTGGGCATTATGTAGCCATTTCTGAGCCATTCTTTAAGAAATATATTTTGGCAATTTTAATTGAAGCAATAACTTATTTCCAATTTTGAATCAAATTTTTACCCAACCATACTAACAAATTTGTCAAAAAATGTAATCCAAACTGATGTTTACACTTATTTTTGACACACATTTAGATATTTTTATGCATATAGAAGATACATGTACAAACATGCATTCATAAATACATATGTAGACAACATGCAGTTTATACATATATACATATATATATATATATATATATATATATATATATATATATATATATATATATATATATATATATATATATATATATATTAGAGAGAATATTTTATTAGAGGATGTATGGCTTTTACATTAGTATTATGGTTTTGTTTATAATTTTGTGTTTCCAAGTAATTCAACAAATTGATTTTTCTATTTTTATTTAGAGCAATCTAAGTGGTCACAAAAATATAATTGGTTACATAGATTCCAGTATACTACATACTGGAAATGGTGTTTACGAAATTTTACTCCTGATGCCTTACTGCAAAACTCATGTGCTGGCCATAATGAATACAAGGTAAATAAAATTCAATGATTTATCTATTTATCTTTCACAGTCTATTCTAATTAACTTCATAATGTTTATAATCTAATAACAAATTTTAGTTTATTATTAATAAACACAACACAGGTTTTAAAAACACTTCAGTTTAAGCTAATTTTGTACTTAAGCAACTGCTGTTATTTAACTTTCCGAAGGAGAAGTTTATGTTTTCATAAAAAAATCTGATTCGCTAATTTTATGTTTTCTCGACGTTTCAAGCCATTCTGAATCGAAAGAGACCAAATTTGGAAAAAGTATGTGTGTGTGTGTGTGTGCGTGTGTGTGAACAGATTTTTTGCCGTAAATCGACGTTTTCTCAAAAACGGTTGAACCGATTTCAAAAATTTAAAAGCCATTCGATGTATTTTGATGAGGACTAGCGTTTTTGAGTTTTGTGTGACGATATTTAATTTCAAAATTTTAAATTACTTTGTAATTTGAAAAAAAGTGTTGAACTTTTCGTCCACATTTAAGCTCATCCTACCGAACTGATTTTAAAAAATCAAAAACTGTTCAAAAGATATTAGTTGGGAATGGTACTGATTAGTTTTAGGTGAAAATCTATCGAGTCGTTTTCTTGTAATTAACTGTTGAAAAAAAAATTTAAGGCTTTATTAAAAAATTTAATTCTTATAGAACTTACTGAAATATTACGGCCTTACGACAAATAGTTTGATTTTAAAAATTTATCAAAGTTTGAGAAAATGAGTAGTTCTTTTGACATTTGTTAAAACTAAAATTAGACTATTTACTTCGTATAATGATAGAGTACTTGGTCTTGAACATAATAAACCATTAAGTCCTGGAAACTGGTTCAATTATAAAAATTATTGATTTTTGAACATTTGCCTTTAAAAAATACTTAGAGTCTAAGTGTTCGTTCGTTTTCAATTATGTGTAAAAAATCCACTCGAAATACTTTTAATGGCTCATAAATTAATTTATTTTTTATTGATTAAGTCGATTATTTAAACATATCGGGAAGTTCATGTAACTTGCCTCAAGGCTAAATACCAAACCAACTAGTTTTATTTTCCTATCTTTATGTGTATTTAATGTATGAATGTATATATTATATAATGATTCTATTATATGTATATGATATATGGATACCAATGTATATATATATATATATATACAGTGGTACCCCGCCTTAGGAGCTTAATTTGTTCCATAATCACGATTGCATATCAAATTTCTTGTATATTGAAGCAATTTTTTCTATATAAATACATTGAAATGGCAATAATTTGTTTTAGGACATTGTTTTTTTTAATAATAAAAAGAAATTTAATTGCTAAGATCAAAACATTCATTGCTAAAATCAAATATATATATACCAAAAATATAGCAAATTACTAAATAAAAAATAACTAAATTATTACTATATTGGTTCTTTAAAAAAACGTCCTCTTCAAATCTACTACTCACAAACTTTGGACATATTTTTCAATGATTTTACGCTTTAATTCAAGAGACATGGCTTTTGTTTGGAACCATGATTGTTATAAAAGTAAATATATCTAACAGTATAAGAAGCAAAAAAGAACGAACACCTCTTACATTCACTATGAACATAAATAATCTCAATGGGTGTGAATTGCTGTATCTGATGAACAAGAATAATGGAAAATGGATTAATATTATTTAATTGAAATGTTTATAATTAAATATGAGTATACGCTAGGAAGAATTTTTTGCTATATATATATATATATATATATATATATATATATATATATATATATGATGAATATAAAAATGAATTAAAATGTAAAAACTTTTTATTTGAATTGTTTGATTAAATTTATTGTTAATAGGTTACAAACAGGGTTTAGTGAACAAGAAGTAATGCAAATTTTTTGTGATACTGTTGAAGCTGTGTCTCGTCTTCATCATTGTCAAACGCCTATAATTCACCGCGACTTAAAAGTAGAAAATATTTTAATGACAGAACAGGGTTCTTATGTATTGTGTGATTTTGGTTCGGCTACTGGTAAAATTTTAAACCCAACCACTCATGGTGTTGCTTTAGTAGAGGAAGAAATTAAAAAATATACAACCCTTTCATATAGAGCACCAGAAATGGTAGATATGTATTCAGGGAAACCAATTACAACAAAGGCAGATATTTGGGTGAGCAGATATTTGAGCACGTAATACAATGCAATTACAAAATAATTCAAGACATTAATTATTAAACATATTTTAGGCTTTGGGTTGTTTATTATATAAATTATGCTTTTTTACTCTTCCATTTGGTGAGAGCACCTTAGCAATTCAAAGCGGGAATTTTGTTATTCCTGATAATTCCAAATATAGCAGAGGTGTTCATCAATTGATAAGTATGTTGCTCTAATTTTTTAATAATTAGGTACATTCTAATAAAATATTTTATTAAATAGATTATATGCTGGAACCAGATGCTGACAAGAGACCAGATATTTTTCAAGTCAGTGAAATAGCATTTAAAGTAGTTGGAAAGGACAATCCAGTTCAAAATTTGCATGTGAGTGAAGTATATTATTTTCTTTAGTTGGAGCTAAAAAGGCCCAAAACTCGATAGCTTTTGTTAACATGATATTCTTTTTTGTTTTTGTATTTGGATATGGAATTATATAATGATAAATTAGATTATTTAATGAAAATTACCAAACTAAAGTTTTTTTTTTGACAAATATCTTGGTGTTATTTTTACAGAAAAGCCCTATTCCAATTCTCCAGAATTTACCACTTCCGGCCTTTGAGTCTGAAGTGAAACGATCATCTGTGAAACTAAGTAAACCAGCTGCAAGTACTTTGGTTGAAGGAACTAGTGTCACACCCAGGCAAAGGCCTAAAGGAAGTCAACCACCATTATTGATAAATTCAAACATACCAATAACACTGAACACAAATGTAGCACCGGTTAGTAATACACATTCACCAGTTTCAATATCAGAACCACAAACTCTGGCACCTCCTCCTAGTCAGCAGGCGTTCAGCAGCCAGCCGTCACAGTTTCCATCACCAACTTTTGAAACTGGCTTTCAACAATTTGGTGCCACTAGTCCAGGACAATCTTTTAAAAAATATCAAGTTGCTAAAACACCAACTGCGCCACCTCAGTTTACAGCAGAAGAATCTCAACAATCTGCACCTTTTGTTCCTGTTCAATTTCCTGTACCATTTAGCATTGATAATGATGACCCACCATCTACTAAATTAAAAGTCAATTCCCCAAATTCTTCTAATTGCTTATTTTCATCCTCAAATTTTACTAATGAAAAAATTGATAACATAAGGGAACCCTCGCCCACGCATATTAATACGAATAATTCTGCAAAAGCCGATGTGTCTGCTGAAAGTGTTAGTCAATATTTACCTTCACTGAATACACCACCTTCATCTCCCAATTTGCACTTACCTAAAGGACATAGAAGATATATGAGTGACACCACAGCATTTAATAAGTAAGTAAATTTTGTGTCTTTTAATGTTTTAAGCCTGTCTAAAACATTTCTTCTGAATGTCATGCAGATTTAAGAATGCCTCTGTTCAAATTTTAAATTTATTAACCTTTTTTTAATTTTAAATATAAATTAAGAGTATTATCTGGCATATATTAGATTAGTTTGTTGTACCATCTTATATTAAAATGCTAGTGTTTTATTCATAGCTTATAATTATTTTCAGAGTTTATGCAAATGAAACTAGCCAGTTTCTGGCTCCATATCAGACCTCAGTCAAACCAAGATCTAGTTCCAATTCTCCTCCAGAAACATCGGAAAGAAACTCAGTTTCCCAAGGATTGTCAAGTTCTGCTAACAAATTGAATAAAAATGTTCCTGTGGATAATCGCTCTTTATCTGTTGACATGGCCAATTGGAATCCATTTGGAGATCCTACACCTTTTTCTCAAATGACCGAAGACCATATCTTTGGCGCCGAGTTTGATAAAATCAGACACGGTACAGAATGTAGTGAGTAGACATCTCATGTAGAAGTTATATATGATACTTTTTTTAACAGTTGCTTTTATTCAGTCATCAGGCTGACACAACTATGTTTGTTCTGTCTTTGCACATTAAAATTATTGAGAATAGCAAATATTTAAAGTTAGCACAGATTATTTAATCATGAGTAGTTATCTCAAAATCTTTCTTATTCAGAGGCAGAAGCTATTATGTTCTCAATGATATGAGAATGAATGTTGAATGAACTTTTGTTCGTAAATCTGAGAAGATTTCCTAGTATGTTCTTTCCAAATATTTCAATGTGGTGTGTTCTTGTTGGGTGTTATTCATAAACTGATTAGTTCCACTAATTGTCTTCTAAGTTGTGTTTAGTTCTGATTTAAAATTACACTTAATGCTGAACTTTTTTATGGTCTAATTATTTAGACTTGACCAAATGCAAATTGGCTTTTCATTATCGCTGGTTTATATTCTGTACCATCTTTTTTCTTCCAAATTAGTTATTACTATTATCTATATATAAATTTTCTATGTAATGCAGACACAAACAAGTCTGTCAGTTTTTTCTTATTACATTACTGACTTCTACTACTTCATTTTTAATATATGCATTAATAATAAATTAAAAGAATTTATTATATTATCTTATTACACTATTAATAATGCCCAATATTATTTTTTTTTTTTCACACAAAAAACTTAAGTTAAAATAAATTGAATTAAGAAAACAAAATATTAGAAAAATTATAATACTAAAAGAAAAACATAAAGTGTATCTATTTGTGACTAGAGCATAATTGTTTGTGTTTGTGCATTTTACTATAATTTATAGTGTTATATTTTGGGATTGTGTTTCTTGTGTTATTTTCTCTTTCACACAAGAATATATATATATATATATATATATATATATATATATATATATATATACATATATATATATATGTATATATATATATATATATATATATATATGTATATATGTATATATGTATATATGTATGTATGTATGTATATATATATATATATGTGTGTATGCATTGATATTGATTTTTATATTTATGTACAATGGATTATTATTATGATTTATGATTGTTTGATTCTATGTATAATTTTTTTTTTTTATAATTTTATTTCCATTTCATCACTTATTAAATTAATGTAATATTTTGTTACAAAGTTTTTGAATCGAAGAATTTAGATAATTTAGTATTTAATTTGATATATATATTTGTTATAGATAATCCTCAAGACAATACTATTGATATACCAAATATATCTGAGGATCCTTTTGGATGTGCGCCCTTTAGTTTGACTTCGAAAACTCGAGACAAGTTAATGAAACAAAATCTAGGAGGTAAAGTATGATTTTGTTTTAACTTATCCACTAATATTGATATTCTACATACATTCTGCACATATATAGTGTGTATTGTATGCAAACATCATATAATTTAAAACAATATAATATGGTTACTAATATGTATATACATTATGCATCTGCAATGGTATATTCTACTGAAATCAGCCTTATTAACCTTTCTACTTCAATGAAAGTTTAAAGCTTATTATCAAGTTATACAAAATATTTTTAGTTTAAATATGAGTATGATAATATGAATATTTACTCATAGAATATATGTTTTTTCATAGTTATTTACATATGTATACACATAATTAATTTTTTTCTTGTATGTATATATGTATTTGCAAAAATGTGCTAATTATTGTGTATACAAATTAATTAGGAAATAGTTCAAGTATCAATTTGAGTTCTAAAGTATTCATGAATATAGAACAACTACTTACCATGCATATTCGATTGGTTTTATACAAAATTGTGG